GGCGGCGGCGGCGGCGGGGCCGGCAGCGGCGGGGGCGGCGGCGGCGGCGGCGGAGGCGGTGGCGGCCTCATCTCCACCTCGGCCCACCCGCACTCGCACATGCACGGTCTGGGCCACCTCTCACACCCGGCCGCCATGAACATGCCGTCGGGGCTGCCGCACCCGGGGCTGGTGGCCGCGCACCACGGGGCCGCGGGGCAGGTGGCCTCGGCGGCGGCGGTGGTAGGGGCGGCCGGCCTGGCCTCCATCTGCGACTCGGACACGGACCCACGAGAGCTGGAGGCCTTCGCCGAGCGCTTCAAGCAGCGCCGCATCAAGTTGGGGGTGACCCAGGCCGACGTGGGCTCGGCTCTGGCCAACCTGAAGATCCCGGGGGTGGGCTCCCTCAGCCAGAGCACCATCTGCCGCTTCGAGTCCCTCACCCTCTCCCACAACAACATGATCGCCCTCAAACCCATCCTGCAGGCCTGGCTGGAGGAGGCCGAGGGCGCCCAGCGGGAAAAAATGAACAAGCCCGAGCTCTTCAACGGGGGCGAGAAGAAGCGCAAGCGGACTTCCATCGCCGCCCCAGAGAAGCGCTCACTGGAGGCGTACTTCGCCGTCCAGCCCCGGCCCTCCTCCGAGAAGATCGCCGCCATCGCCGAGAAATTGGACCTCAAAAAGAACGTGGTGCGGGTTTGGTTTTGCAACCAGAGACAGAAGCAGAAACGGATGAAATTTTCCGCCACCTATTAGGGGCGGGCGGGAGGGGCGGCCCCAGCACCGGGGGCACCGGGGGGGGGGGCCGGGCCGGGGCCGCGGGGGACGCCCACGCACCGCCACCGTCGCCTGAGACGCCGTGGGAGGCTCCTGGGGACCACGGGACGATGTAGAAATTAAAGGCGAACTAGTCGGGGAGAGGGAGGGGGTGTGTGCGTGTGTGAGGGGGGTGCGCTATCAATTATTAAAACAAAAAAGACACCGGGACATCAACGAGAAGAAAGAGGAGAGAGGAGGTAAAAACGCTCTGGAAACCCATGGGGGTCACTTCTGCGGGCCCGTTCCCCCTCTGCCCCCCATCCCCTGACAGAAAGCGGGAGAAAGAGCAACTTAAAGCGTAAACACACACAGACACACACCAATAAATACCGTGACAGCAACAACCACAAACCGAGAAACCTAAGTCACAACTTTCCGAAGGAAAACAAAACCGACCAACAAACCCGGAAGGCGAAACTGTCGGTGATGATGATGCTACGTTTGGTTTGGGTCTCTTTTCATTACTTTATGCTTTTCTTTCTTTTCTTTGGCTTGGTAATGAATGAGGTCAGCGGTGGTTTGGTGTGGGGAACTTTTTCTTTGGTTGGCTTGGATTTGGGTTTTTTTTGTTTGTTTGCTTTGGTATTTTTTTCTGTTGTTGTTTTTTTGTTTGTTTGTGTTTCCTCAAACGCGTTTTTGCGCGAGGCTTTGGCGATGGTTCTTGTCTGTGGCGGGGGAGCGGCGCGAATGGGGCAGGGGCCGGGGCCGGGGGAGCCGCCGCAGCCCGACGGGACAGCCGGTCCTCCCAAAGCTCGGAAGCGGTCTCTTTCCTCTCCGTTGTTGCCTCAATAATCCTAGCTAGCTCAAGGAAAACAAGAAAAAAAAAAGTTACTCCACAGCCCCTTTGTTCCTCCTCCCTCGCCTGCGTGGTTTGCGTTTCCAGCTGTGTCCAAAGACAGGTCCCTCTTTCTGCAGAGATGCATCTGGAGGCAGATGCCAAACCTGCCAGAGCGGGGATGCTCTGCAAAAGATTATGTTCAGACTCATTAATGCTCGTGGTTAAGTATGTCCTCTCCTCTCTCTCCCTCCCCGCTGCTCCCAACCCTATGTCCCCCGGCATCCCTACCAAATATACAGGATTTAGGTTAAGGTCCTGACTTGTTTTTTTCCGAGGACTGGGGGTTATTGCACCCTGTAGGCAAAGGAAATCACCAGTTTGAAATGGGTTTGAAATAACATTTGTTTCTGAAGGGTCTGCATGTTGGGAACAAACACGCAACAAAAAAATTTGGGCTTAAAAATTGTTTATTGTAAATAATAAACGTTATGTAGAGGATGGCTTTTGGGAGGGGTGTGTGGGGTTCAATTTGCACTATCACAGTTTCCTGGATTGGAAGCGATGATGTTATTCGATAATAACGATGCTGGTAGTACTAATAACCATCAAGGTGCGTTACATATCTCGCGAATTGAAAACAAACAAAAAAATATCAGGGCTTGTTAGGTAAAAAGGGCAGCGACGTGCAGAAGCCATCGCTGATTCTGGCTTTTGCAGAGAGACTGCTAAGGCTTTCAAGTAACAAGGAATTTCTGCAAAGAAAATACCATTCAGTTTAAATCAAAACAAACAATAGACTGAAATTATGCATGACATGACCTAAAAAAAAAAAAAAAAGAAAAAGGAAAAGAAAAAAGGAAAAAAAAAGGCATAGAAAGATCCGTGTTAAAGTCTCTATATTATTTATTTATTTATCTATTTATTTTATTATTAATATTATTAATATTATTTCGTGTATCATTGTTTGCAGCGCAAACATTCTATGCATTTTGAAACTGAGCACTAAATAGACTAGCTTCTGGTAGAATCTTTTGTGGATGGTGTAATTTCACAGTTTAACTGCCTGTTTTCACCGAAAACACAAACGTTCTTGTCACGTTCTTGTATTTAGAATTAAAAGAGGAAAGAAAAAAAAAAGGAAAAAAAAAGGGAAAAAAAGATAAGAAAGACGATTGTAAATATTTTCTTTAATGCACAAAACAACATAAAAGGGTTACAAACTGCAACCACGTGTGGATCCTAAAATGTCTCACTGAATAATCTACCTGTCCATGTATGTTTGCTGAGCTTTCTCCTTGGTTGTGTCTTTACTCTATTACTTTTATTTCTCTCAGAAATATTTCTGTATGCCAAAATACAACAGGGAGATGCGTCCCAGCATACTTACAAATAAAACAAACGTGAAAACAGAATAGTTACTATTATTATTGGGTGCATTTAAAAAAAAGTATTTCCGAAACACGGCTGGTAAATTCAAGGTATGGCCGTTAGATGATAAGACTAATTCTACCAAAAAGAAAATAGTGAGAGATGTATTTTTCTGCTTAAATCCAGAAATCATTACTTTGAGATAGCTCTTATGTGAAAATCGGTGCTCCGAATAAAATTAACTATATATTAGCTGCGTGTGTTTCTTGAAATTTATTCTATAACTGCAGAATATAAATCAAAGTAAAATTTTAAGAAGGACTTCTGAAGTATTTCTTTTCAGTGTGCTGGAAAGGATTATGCACCTACAAAATATGTATAAAGAAGAAAAGCTTGGGTGGTTTCAGGTTTATATGTTGTTCTGACTGGCCTAATTGCACTTAATTATGTAACAAGATACTTTATTTTTATTTTGGGTTAATAAATATGAAAATCCTAAACTGATCTCTCCTTATGTTGTGAATGCAATTGTTCATTAGGAACGTATAGGATGCCACCTACTGCTTCAAGTGATCAAAGAACCTCTTTCTATTTTCTGATGACCTGTGGCTAGATCAGATGCCAAATGTAAAAAGTTACTTAATAGCTGGGATTATTTCTTCTGTAGACATATTTTAGCCAAATCTTTTTTAATTTTGCCGGTAAATCTGTGAATCAAGACACGTGATGTTCAGAAGAGAATAATACGTTCAAAAAAGCTGTGATTTTAAACAACTGTTGATGTTAAAAAATAAGCACTAAAGGTATTTTTAAAAAAACATAGATCTCGTCCACCGGAAATTACCTTGTTTCTGTTGTTATTGACTTGAAATATCATCAGAATTTTTAATAAATGCATTTGTAAAAATATTATTTTATAGAAAAGTATTACCGGATATCATTTTTTGGAGAGTCAGGAATGAACAAATAAAAATAATTACAAATGTTGGGTTTTCTTTTTCATCAGTCCCAAACGATTGAAATGTTGCAAGCGATACCACATTTGTATCATATGGTAATGACCGATGTATGTATTGAAAAGTTGAGGAGTTTGTTTTGTAATAAGTACAATCCTTATCGACTACAAAGAAAAAATAATATGTTAATAAAACGGTGAAAATAAAAGCTTTGCAGAGTTTCCTATTTTTCATGGTAGGAAACTGTGCAAAACCGGAACGTCCTGCTTTCTGTCAGATGAATCTGCATAGTTCATAAAACCACAAAATGCTCCTGAGGCCTTTTTAATAAATGCCTCATTAAAAATATCAAAAGAAAAAATAGAGTGAGAGGAAAAGAAAAGAAAAGAAAAGAAAAGAAAAGAAAAGAAAAGAAAAGA